AAAAGGAAAAGGGATTAAGTTTAAAAAAAAGAAGAAAGAAACTCATAGACACAGCATCAGTATAAGGATTACCAGAGGAAAAAGGGATGGAGTGAAGTGAAAAAGGAAGGGGATGGGGGGATAAATGGTAATGGAAGGAGACTTGACTTGTGGTGGTGAACACATAATACAATATACAGATGCTGTACTATGGAATTGTACACCTGAAACCTATATAATTTTATTAACCAATGTCACCCCCAATAAATTCAATAAGAATTAAAAATAAATAAATAATAAATATATAAAATAAACAAAAATAAAAATAAATAAATATGCATGGTGTTAATGAAAAAGATTATAACTATGTGCAATAGCATCCCTATGTCAGCCTTAATAAAAATCCCCTGTTGTAAAAGCAAACCAATATAGCTGAGATAACACATTTCACAGCAAAGAATTTGAGGTGGCAAGGACAGAGTTAATTTCTTTAGAGCACACTCATTTATTAAAGTGGCATTACAATCTGTCGTGTGTCACACAGTATATTATTTTGCCTGAACAGCTTTACATGCAAATACTTATTGCAACGAGTCATTGATCTGGTTCAAGGTTTGGCAAGAAATAGTTGCAGTAAAGTCTTTAGAGTAACTTACTTTCTTACAGAATACATTCTCAAAACTATATATATGACAAAACTTGGTTCCCATATAATAAATTCTAGGTATCTCAGTCCATCAAATACATTGCCCTATATTCACACACTGGAATAGTGGAGGGCTGATATGAATTACAGTCTTGTGAGGAAGAAAGCATTTTGATAAATATTAAAATTTCAACTCACATTTAATACATAATTCACTTGACACTGAAAAATGTAGAAAAGGCTGGTGACATTTTTATCAATATCTTTTTGTAGACTTGAAAAATTATTTCACAACACATCTAAATTATAAATCTTAAGAAATCTATTACTGACCACTAACAAGACCCCCAAATGAGACAAATGCCAAACAGAACAAATTTGGAGGCTTCCTACTTTTATACACGTATTTCTGTTTAATCTTGGGAAGACTACATCTTTATTAATTTGCACAATCCTAGGCCAATTGCATTCTTAACCTAGAGGCAAGATGATTTCAAAATAGCATGGCAAATAGTTCTTTTCTTGGGCTGGGTTAGAAAGGGTAAGGGACATGTATTCAAAGATCCTGCACTATTAGTCTTGTTGAGCCTTTCTCTCATGGTGCAGACAGAATGTACATGAGGGTGCAGAGGTGTTCCCCAGCTACTCTGAGTCTAAGGAGTCAATACCTCCAGCACACTTGTAACACACAGGTTAGGAGGCTCAAGATGGAGATGAAGATGGTATACCCCAGGGAAATATTCCCTGATGCTTCCATTTACCCACAATCCTGGGGGGCTGGGATATAGAAAAGACAGGAAACATGATTCACAAACACACAGACATATTTCGCTCCATAACTTCAGTCACCACATCATTAAAATCATCCAATGAAGGTCACAATGCCAAGCACTGCTACAGTCTAGACTAGAGCTGTGCAAGAGAACTACTCTGATGAAAATGTGCTATATCTGCTGAGGAGCTGAAATTGTTATTTAATTAATTTTAATTTCAATCTTAAGGCCATATGTGACTAGCATTTGGAGTGCAGTTCTAGCCTGAACACCAAACACAAGGTGATACTCAAAGAGTTTTCAGTGCTCAGGCTGGTCATGGACCAAAGAGTTCATCAGTCATGTCAACCTAGCAATGGGAAGAGGTGGATTCCTCAGTACAGCCAGAGATTATCACAGTGCCAGTGTCATGCTCCGCCGACCACACCATGAACATTTATAGAAAGCCTCCCACCCACACGCACTCTCTCAAAGGCTCAGCTTAAAAAGCCAACCAAGAAGGAAAACACTTTCTCTCCTTCAACTCACTATTGAATGAGATCAATACAAAACACACACACACACACACACACACAAAAAAAAAAAAAACTAGAAGAAACAACAATCACTTATAAATAGAAGATTCTTTCCTGAACTCAAGCAGATCATCACTAAAAGGCAGCTCTTTCCTCCAACTAGTTTCTGTTACATGCTTTCTACAAAAGCAGCAAGGTGTCATTCAAATTATAATAAAACATAGTGGTTAATAGCGTTTGCTCTGAAGTATAACAGATTGAATTCAACTACCACCTCCATTGCTTACCAGCTGTCTGTGGGCAAGACAATTAATCACTTCAAGTCTCAGTTTCCTTCTTCGTAAAATGGATTAATAATAGTTCTTTCCTCACAGGGTTGTAAGGACTAAATGAGATAAGATATATAAAACATTAGCAGAGTAGCTGGTATGTCATAAACACTATTTAAGTATTATTTATCAGTATTTCATCACCATTATCATCCTATCTCCTTCCTTTACACAGGTTAAAAAAAAATCTACCTAGAACAAATCATATTTTACTTTTTAAATCCTCACCCAAGAACATGCTCACTGATTTTAGAGACAGTGAGAGGGACAGAGAGAGGGAGAGGGACAGAAACATGGATCAGTTGCCTCCCGCCCAGGGATCAAACCCACAACCTAGGCATGTGCCCCGACCAGGAATCAAACCTGCAACCTTCCAGTGTATGGGACAAGGCTCGAGCCAAGTGAGCCACACCAGCCAGGGCCAAATCATATTTTAGATCAAATCCCAACTTTTAAAATATCCATATATCAAGATGATGCTGGAAAAGGAGAAAGAGACCAGTCATGGTGCCTCAGGGGCCGAGGAAAGCAGTTCAAATTATATTCGGTGTACCACCGAGACCCGCCACTGGGTGAGACATGAACTAACATTTTCTTCAAGACTGCTGAGGCGCCTGTGCGCAAGGCAAAGCGTAAGGACACAAAAGTGGAAGCAGGAGGCCAGTGAAGAGGCGTCTGCAGAAGACAGGTAAAGAGATGCTGGTTATCTGGACTGGGGCTGCGACGGTAAAGACAGATGTGAAAGAACCTCTTAGCATGTTCTGGAGATGATGTTGACAAGACATCATCGGAAGTAAGGAACAGAGGAAACAAGGGTGAATCCCAGGTTTGGAGCTTGACTACCTGTACCATTTTACTGGGAAAGACAGAGAGCAGCAGCAGCTGTGGAGAAGAAAATAAAAGGTCTGGGGCGAGATTAAATGGAGACCTCTAAGTGGAGGTCTAGGAGAAGTCTAAGCTGAGCTGCAGGGAGAGGGCAGGGCTAGAGATGGAATTTGGGAGTCACAAGCATCTACATAATGATTCAGAAGACATACCATCGGATGCGAGTCCTCAGTGGAAATCAGCACAAACAACCAGGCTGAGGATGAAGCAGGGCGAGAGGACCACCAAGAGTGCGGCCCAGAAACCAAAGACGGTTTCCGGCAGGAGGGAGGGGTCCCTTTCTCTCTAGCATTAATGAGAGATACCGTTCTTAATGCTCCCACTAAACAAGAAGCTCAAAAGGGCCAGAACTATTTCTTATTTAGGTTGGTCCTTTCTGCTGGAAACACATCAGAAGCAGAATTCATGGTTATGACTTATGACTGGGAAGAGGCTCACAACTGCCTCTGAGTAATGGCTTTTGGGCAGTGCCTCATCTTTCTCACTGGATTTCACAGTCCACAGCTGGACTGACCACACAACACCCCTTTCCAATGAACACAGAAAATCTCAGTTAGTCCATTGCCACTTCACCGATAACCACATGTCCATTCATTAAATCGGGCAATAAGAACGGCGCCAGACATACGGCAGGTACTCAGTAAATATTAGCTGGATGAACAATAAATGGACCAGGTAGGAGACAAGATCTGCATGATCCACAGATAAAACGAGGCTTAATAATTCCCTATGTATTTCATTTAACATCCTATTTTTATCAAGGATTAAGACTGTAGCTTTTCAGCCAGAACCTCCATCTTCTGGTAATTCGCCAAAATGACAAACACAAAGGAAAAGAGGAGAGGCACCCACCCGCTCTATGTTCTCTAGGCCTTTTAGAAAACATAGAGTTGTTCCTTTGGCTACATACACGCGAATCTGTAAGAAAGGTGATATTGTGGACATAAAGGGAATGGGCACTGTTCAAAAAGGAATGCCCCACAAAGGTTACCATGGCAAAACTGGAAGAGTCTACAGTGTCACCCAGCATGCAGTGGGCAATGTTGTGAACAAACAAGTCAAGGACAAGATTCTTGCCAAGAGAATTAATGTGTGGACTGAGCATATTAAGCACGCTAAGAGCCGAGATAGCTTCCTGAAACGTGTGTAGGACAATGATCAGAAAAAGAAGGAAGCCAAAGAGAAAGGGACCTGGGTTCGCCTGAGGCGTCAGCCTGCTCCACCCACCGAAGCTCACTCTGTGAGCACCCCTGGGAAGGAGCCTGAGCCTGAACCCGTCCCTGAGAATTCATGGCGTGGTAAGTGTAAGAAGAAGACCTCTGGACTGATAAAAAATGTTTCTCTTAATTGAGAAGCATAATATTTCTTCCCCAAAAAAATAATTAACGAAAACTTGGTGTCCTTAAAAAAAAAAAAAAAAAAAAAAAGACTGTAAAGAAATAGACTGTTTATAAACTTAGAAAAACCATTAGAAAATAAAATCATTGGAGATAGTTCACAATTTGGAAAGAGTAAATCACTATTTTCTAAGTTTGATTTTAATAAATATTTACTATTCATTCTCTAATATCTCGGTAAGTAATCCATTTTACACAAAAAGATATGAAGTAACCTTCCAAAGCCTAAGAGAATTCAGGAGCTGGATGAGAAAAAAAATTTCCAAAATGCTATTTGAAAGTAGATTCATTCTACTTTCAGTACAAAACATTTTAAAAGAACCCCTGATCCTGATGTCTCATATCTCATATTCCCTAAAAAGCAGAATATCCAAATAACAAAAGACAGATGTGCTGAAGATCGTGACTATTAAGTGAATTCTTACAATTTCTGATTTGCCTACTAAAAAACATCTAAAATTAAAATTCTGAAATACCTGCGGCACCATAAGCACCCGAATACCGCTGAGACTTCGAGCCTGATGGAGAGGTCTCCTTCATACGATCGATCACATTTTCCGAAAGCTGAAACAGCAACATCAAAATAAAATCAATTATAAAAGAACAAGAAAGAAAACAGTACAATAGCATCCAAGTAATTTAATCATCCATATCAATATGTATAATGAATGGCCTAAAGAAATTAGGCTAAATCGAATAGCTATAAAACTAAAAGCAAGTAAGAACAGTTTTAAGATTTCAACATGGACCCCACAGCACTACTTTTTATTTCTTCTAATGCACTGCTAATTGCTCATTATAAATAACTCTTCTCATTTTATACTGTGTACTAAATTGTAATCGCTGAGAAAATGTAAACCCTCAGAACTCCTTCGTCATTCTTCCCCTCACCCTACAAATTTTTGTTTTTTTACCCTCACCCGAGGACATTTTTGCATTTATCTTTAGATAGAGTGGGGGGGGGGGCCGAGAGAAACACTGATATGAGAGAGACACATCGACTGGTCGCCATCCACACGACCCCAGCCCAACCAGGGACAAACTGCAACCAAGGTATGTGCCCTTAGCAGGAACTGAACCCAGGGCTCTCTGGTCCGCAGGCCAACTCTCTAACCACTGAGCAAAATCAGCCAGGGCTCATCCTACAAATTAATTCATGCACGCAACAGGCCTTAGCGCCCTCCTTCCCTCCAGTCCCAAAGGAAACAGTCCGATACTCCCTCCTGTTCGAGACTAACCACAAGCAGCCCAGCGGTGAGACTCAGTGGATTGAGCATCAGCCCATGGACTAAGAGGTCCCGGTTAGATTCCCGGTCAGGGTACATGCCTGGGTTGCAAGTTCGATCGCCAGTAGGGGGCGTGCAGGAGGCAGCAATCAATGTTTCTCTCTCCCTTCCTCTCTCTCTAAAAAAATCAATTAAAAAACATATTTAAAAAAGACTAACCACAATCAGTCTTTCAACAGATTTTATTATATACCAACTATGTGCCAGAAACTAGGCTAGACTTTAGGTACTCAACAGTTACCAAGATGCTTAAAGTGAAGAAGAAGAAACAGGCAATCGTTAGGGTAAGTACTCAGAAAGCACAACAGGCAGGGCATCTAGCTAGGCTTTGGGAGTGGGGCCGGGCATGGGGCTGGGAAGGATAAACAGGACTTAGGAAGAGGAATGGGATAAGAGCACTCCAAGAGGAAAGAAACACATGAAGGCATAGGAGAAATGGCTTAGCACCATTAGACACCAAGCGGATAACAAATAGGCAGCTGGCAACAGGGCAGAGGGTCTGAGGAACACTCGGGCTTGGAGGTTTGAGTCATCAGCTCCCCAGTTCCGTCATATTATCCTCCCATTTTCTTTATAGTGCCTACCACTGTCTGATGCTTTCTTATGAATGGTCTGCCTTTGACACTAGAAAGAAAGCTCCATGAAAGCAGGATGTGGCTGTCCTGGCCACTATGATATCCCTGAAGCCTCAATAAGCCTGGTTAACTGAATACATGGTTAGATAAATGAATGAAGCAATGTGAATGGATAAAAGAATGGCTGAAGCACAAAGCTGGAGAAGGGACTTTGTGAAAGAGAAGGTAGAAAGAGAAATAGGTTTTAGATTTTGAATAGTCTTTTTTTTTTTTTTTTTTATCCCCTCACCCGAGGACATTTTTCCATTTTTTTGTTCAGATAGAGCGGGAGGGAGAGAGAGGAACAGAGAGGAACATCGACGTGAAAGGGACACATTGAGTGGCTGCCACCTGCACGACCCAACCAGGGCTGGGGACAAACTACAACCGAGGTACGCGCCCTTAGCAGGAAACCTAACCCAGGTCTCTCCGGACCGCAGGCCAACGCTCTAACTGCTGAGCCAAACCGGCCAGGGCAGATTTTGAATAGTCTTAGTAAGCCCATCAAGTTAAGGAGTTTAAACTTGATCCTGGGGGTGACTGGGCATTACTGAAGGATTATAAGCAGGGTAATGGCACAATCAGACCGACATGTTAGAAAGATCACTCTAGCTATGGTGTATGGAACAGATTGGACAGACAAGAACAGAAGCAAGAGGACCACTTAAGAAACAATTAAGCACATGTGCACATAAAGACAGGCACAGGGATGTTCATGGCATCATTGCTCACAACAGCAAGAGTGGAAACAAATAAATGTCCATCTACTGGTAAATGAACAAACTAAACATCATATATCCGTACCGTGGAATGCAATTCAGCAATAAAAAGCAATGAAGTTCGATATATGCTACAACATGGAAAAATCTAAAAAAAGCAATTCAAGTGAAGGAAACCAGACAAAAAAGGCCTTCCAGCGTCTAATGCCATTTATATGAACTACCCAGAAAAGGCAACTCTAGTTAGACAGAAAGCAGATAAAAGGTTGCCTGAAGCTGGGTGGGACGGGACGAACTGTACATAGGCTCGGAAGAGCTTACTGGGGTGAAGAAAATGTTCTAAAACTGAACTGTGGTGATGGTTGCACAACTTGGTAAATTTATTAGAAAGCGTTGTATACAGAAAACAGATAAATTTTATAATATGTAAATTTTACTACAATAAGTTGTTTTGAAAAAATAAACGATTATGGTAATCCAGGGAAAACACATTCAAAAGATACTTAGGATTCAACACAGCTAACACTCACTGAGTGCTCCTTACCAGGCATTTGCAAAACTAAGCACGTCCATCTTTCAACCCTCAACATACTGTGGGATACTTCTGTTATCTCCACTCCACGATGAGGAAACTGAAGCCCAGCCGGATTAAATAACTTGCCCTGGATTTTACGGTTTACTGATAAGGAAGCCAGGACTCAAACCCAGGAAAGCCTGAGTCTCAAGGTCACACTCATGCCAGCCTTAGTGTCTGACCAGATGTGGGAGGGAAGCAGATGTTATTAAGAAGGATGCCCAGGGTTCCGGGTCAAGTAACTGAGTGATCCCCTACTGAATCCTCAGGACCCCCTTCCAATGTCCTCTTCCCTAACTCACCACTATCTGACTTGTAGCCCAATACGGCACTGCGAGTGTTCTGGTAAAAGTCACTACTGGCCAAATAAATAACCTTTTATGTTTATATTTATATAAATAAATATCTTTTATATTTCTATTTATAAAGCACTTAATTTATGTGGATTCCCTTTAGCATCTAACACCTTTGTTCACCCTCCCCCCACCCCCACCCCCCGGAAATCCTTCCCTTGGCTTTTCTGACATCCCACTGTCCTGACTGTCCGAGGACTCTGGCCACATCTTATCTCTTTTGTAGGCATCCCCTCCACTGCCTTCCCGTACATGCTAGAGGACCCCACATCCTGTTCTTTGCTTTTATTTTCTTCTCACTCTAGTGCTCTTATTGGTACTCTCATCCATTTATGTTTCACTGTTACTGACAAATCATTAATCCATTATCTCCAGCAAAGACCTGTATCCCAAAAGCCAAATCTATACAGTGGAACCTTGTGGCTCAAAGTTAATTCATTTCAGAAGACTGTTCGAGAAGCGATTTATTCAAAAACTGAATCGCTTTTTCCTGTTAGAAATAATGTAAATTGAATTAATTCATTCCAGACCCCCAAATGATTCCCCGTTTTAACCTTTCTTGTATATAGTACACTATTTAATCTATAAACAAGCACTTATTTTCATAAATTTATCAAACCACTCCTACTAGCCTTAAAGGAAGCACTTTCAGCACTGGCTTCAGGGGTGTCTTTCAGGTCAGCCTGCAGCCCCTTCGCCTGTTCACATATCTCTGCCTCTGCTGGCACCAGCTAACTGCTTTTCCTTTATCCAAATCAACAATCTTTCTACCTCTTCAAGTGCCTGTGATCATGGATTCTTTCACAACCTTAGCAACAGCAGCACTCTTGATGGCCTCTTAAGTTTTCAAATTGTGCTAATTGTCCATTTTGCCAGCAACACACACACACACACACACAAATATTCACAGCATAATTTCCTGAGATTTAACTAGCAGGTTTAGCGGTAAACTGACTCCCATGCTGTCCTTTGTGGCCTGAGAGGTCCTTTTGGTCATGCTGATGGATCAGCATAAAAGGGTTGTCAGGTCAAGAACTGAGGTTCTGTTCAAAGACCAAGACACCCCACCCACAACAACTTGGTCAAGAACCAAATTGTTTGAGATGGGAGACAGTCGAGAATTTAAGTTTGACTGTACATTGAATTGCCTAATGGACACCTCCTCTTCATACCACAAGCATCTCCAACTGAACATGTCCCCAACTGAATTCCTGTTTGCCAAAAATCTCCTCTTACTATCCTTATTTCATTAATGAGATCACCTCCATCCAATTTCCTAAGTCAAAGCATAGGATAGTCCTCCACTCTTCTCTCCCCCTCGTTCTCTTAGCCATGACTTCCTCAGCCCCTAAATATTTAATGAATCCATCATCTCTTCTCCCATCCTGGTTTGCTTCCCTAATTCATGGCACCATCGATAATCCTCTAAAATGCAAGCCTGATTATGTAACTGCCTGCTTCAAATCCTACAATGGTTACCTTCTGTCGACAGGCAAGTCCAAACTCTGCACAACATTCAAGACTTCCCCACCACCTAGTATGTCCTAACTCTCCAAGCTCAACTTCCACAGCTTTTCCCTTAATACTTCATGCCCTGTTCTCCATCCCCACCTGCTTCTTGTTTATTGCCATTTACACCTATCTACATTGTCTTTTCCCCTGACTCCCTGGGAGGGAATCACTTTTCAAAATCCAGTTCAAATATCCTAATGCCTTCTCTCACCCAAGTTCCCCATTCCAGTCGACTCTGCCTAACCAAAGCTACCTCCCCTGTGCTCTCTGTACCTTGCACAAGCCTCCAGCATGACACTCCAGTGGAAGAACAAGTATTTGCCTTTCTGCCTGTCCACAAAATTCTGATTTCCTACATATACTGAGTCATTCTTTCAGAAAATGTTTACTAGGCCAAGTGCTAATTTAGGCCCTTGGGATACATTAGTGAACAAAATAGTCTGTACCCAAACAGTTACTTACATCTCAGGAACCCAACCAGAATGGTGGTCAGACAGTAAAAGGAA